GAGGTCAGGCCATCTGGCAGTAAAAAATTAGCCATTTTGGTTTTACTGTGTCTCTGAGACTGAGGGTGTTTATACTGGCTGTAAGACATGTGAGTGGAGTGTGTTTTGTGGCTGGGAAGCAGTGTTTCCCATGTTGTGACTGAATTAAAGATGAGCCAAAGGCAGTGAGCTGAGGGCTAAAAGCTGGGTCACAGCCCCTTGGAGAATCGTCTCCCATGTCAGGGTGTGAGCCAGCAAGAAGTGCCCAAATCTGTCCTCCCTAGTTGTCACCAAGTGGGAAGGAGAGCGTTCTGAAGGACGTTAGAGAGCCCTGATGTGGGCCCATGATTTATGAGAAGGAGGCAAGAACTCCCTGAGCAAAGAGTGGCTTACCTGTGAGAATCAATGTGGACTGGTGTTGGATGAAGGCTGGCAGTGGCAAATGTAGGGGCAAGAGAAAGAGGAAAGGGTGGCTTGTTGGCAGGGGGAGCTCAAACTAAGGGGGCTAACCTCTTAGGAACCATATGCCCCAACTGTATCCAAGTCACAGCACCAAAGGTGTTAGGTTTGGCACCAGATAGAGCAAGAGACAGAGGTAGGTAAAATAAGCCTTTATTGCTGGCATGGGAGGGTTGCAGGAGATTGCTAGGACCCTTGGAGGAGGGAGCTGGGGAACAGGTTTTATTAGACTGGACTAGAGGTTTAGTTAATATGGGCAGGTGATGTTAACTCGAGGGAGTTAGTTGGCGCATGTCCAAAAGGGAGTAGGAAGTTTATCTCAGGGTCTGAAGAAGAACAAAGAAATGAGTGTCCTGGCTGGCACCATTTTTGGGATTCTGGATGTCTATCACTTCAGATCCCCTTCTATCTCTACAGACTGTACCTCCCTGTTTCTTGACGTTGCTCTTTAATTTAGCTCTTTATTTATATTTTGGGTCTTTTATATTACAGAAACCATGTGACATTGAATCTTCTTTGACTTTCCGCATTTAGTATTATGGTCTGAAAATTCATCAGTTTTCCTACAAATAATTTAAATTTATCCTTCTTTATGGCTGAGTAATATGCCATTGCTTATAGGCACCACATTTTCTTTATATATTTAGCTGTTGCTGAGCATAAAGGGCCCTTCCATGATTTAGCTGTTGTGAGTTGTACTGCTATAAATATGGGTATGTATCACCTTTGGGAAGATACCCAGGAAAGGTATAGCTGGGTCAAATGGAATTTCTATTTTTAGTTTTTTGAGGAATCTCCAAACTGATTTCCATAGTGGTTGTACTAGTTTATATTCCAACCAGCAATGTAGAAGGATTCTTTTCTCTCTACAGCATTTTTATTTTAACATAGTAGCCTTTTTTACTGGAGTAAGGTAGAATCCGAAATCTGTGTTGTTTTGTTTACATTTCTCTAATGGCCAAAGATGCTGAATATATTTTCATATATTTATTGGCCATTTGTACTTCTGTGAAGTTGTTCATTTCAGTTATCCAGCTTTTGACTGGGTCTTTTATTTTGGGGGTCTATTTTTTTAAAATTCTTTATATTTTCCAGCATTATTACACTGTTTGATGAATAGCTGGCAAAGAAAAAAACAAAACAAAAAACAAACCTTTCCCATTCTGTAGGTTGTCTCTTCGCTCTGTTGGTTGTTTTTTTTTGTGTGTGTGTGCTAGGAATTGAACTCAGGACCTTGCACTTGTTAGGCAGGCGCTGTGCTGCTGAGCTATATCCCCAGCCCTATTTTCTTTACTGATTCCTACACTATATTGTATTTGTTGCTGACTACTTTTCTGTTTGGTTCACTGTTCATTTTGCTAGGTGTATTTTTTTCCTTTAGGCTCTTGAGTGGTTGTTGGTGTTATTGTCACTGTCAAAGATTTCTTTGTGTACTTTCTCCAGTGCTAGTTTGGTGGTCATGAGTTCTTAAGATGCATTTTGTTGGGGCTGGGGATTTAGCTCAGCGGCAAAAGCGCCTGCCTGGCAAGCGCAAGGTCGTGAGTTCGGTTCCCGGTACCGGAGAAAAACAAACAAACAAAAACAAACAAAGATGCATTTTGTCATGGAAAGTATTTCTCCATCAATTTTGAAAGATAATTTTGCAGAATATATTAATCTGGGCTCAAAGTTGTTCTTTTTAGGGCTTGAAAAACTTTAATCTCTCCTAGTCTTTGAGGTTTATGTTGAGAAATCTGCTCTTGCTATGATAAGCTTGCCTTTATGAGTGATTTGATGCTTTTCTCTAACAGCTTTCAGTATTTTGTCCTTGAGCTGAAGTTCTGGGGTTTTAACTGTGTTGTGTTGTGGAGACATTCTTTTCTGGTCATGGCTACTTGGTGTTCTCTATGTCTTGTTTACCTGGAAATTGAATTCTTTCCCTAGGTATGGAAAATATTCTGCTGTGATTTCAGTAATTTTTTTTATATCCGTTAATGCTGTCTTCTAAGCTTTTCTTAACTCCTGTAATTCTTAAGTTAGGTGTTTTTTGGTTTTTATTTTATTGTTTTGGAGTCATTTAGCAGTTGTTGGATTTCCCTTCCCATAGTTTTTAAGTATCTCTGAGTACATGATCTGCCGTTATCACCCTTATTTTGTATTTGTCTTTCCTCACAGTGGTCATTTCTGCCATCCATACTTTCAGTAGCATTTTTATTTCTTGAATTTCTGTTTGCTATCTTTACTAAAATGGTCATGCATATCTTATATGTCTTGGTTAGTTCACCCAACTTTTTATGTCTTCTTTACATTTGATCATTTTATCAGTTAAGTGTCATTATGTGTTTAATTACATTGGAACTGTGTCTTTTATCCCTTCAAACATGTCTGTCCTTTTGTTTTTTTTTAACTTTTTATTTTCCCTATATCATTGCACTTGGATTAGCTTTTGGGGACTTAAGAATTTTTGGAGGCATTCTGTTACTTGTTTTCTCACATTTCTGTTGTTTTTTTTGTGTGTGCTGAGAGTTGAGAATCAATTAGAATAGAAAACCTTTTCCCTAGTATGGCGATCTCTCTAGGTAGTGCATGTTCCCTGTGATGTGATCCTTGCTTTGGTTATGGTTAGGCACTCTGCAAACTACTTAGCATAACAGAATTAGACGCAGTCACTATGTTGCAAGTAGAGAACCACTGCCAGTTGTATCAGTATCTACACATCAACCGTGTATCAGTCATGTGAATTAAGACTTGTTTTTAACAATTTCATCTTTTTTTTTGTAACTCCTAAATATCGTGATACAGTGTTACTGAAAGGTAGGATGGCATTTAAAGGATGAAGGGAGGAAGGAAAGGACAAAAAAGAACATCAAATAGAAGAAAGAAAAGAGATTGATTTTTTTAAAAATTTTTTTTATTTTTTTAATATCTGGAGTAAAGGGATGATGGAGAGGAGGTCTGAGAGAAGATTGGTGGGGGCAGGAGAAGGGATGCAGAGAGGGAAGTGTACCTGAGGAGTAAGGGAAGCTGTGAGAAGATCAGAACCTGTTGTTATGTTGATAGTGAGCATGTGTTTGAATCCTCTGTACACAGTTTTTGGGGAGGGTTATCCTGACTTGGCCATGAAGGACACTATTTAGGTTAAAGCGCTAGTTAGTTCTTGTTCTCCTTTTCACATGTACACCACCGTGATGAAAGGGGAAAAGGAGAAGAAAGGAGAGAAAGGAATAAGAAAAAAACCTGCATAGTTACAAAACACAAAGTTAAACTGTCCTATCAGTCCTGTGTGTACTACAGTCTGGATTCACCCGCTGCACTCTTCTGCCAGCGTCATGGCGAGGATCTCGACAGACTGTTGGGTCTGGCTACTTCCACCTCCGCACTCCACAGAGCATCACTGTCCACAGTCGCCTTTTCTTCTGCCCCTTGTCAGACCACTCCCCACCTCTGCACCTCACTGACCCAGCGCTCCTCCTAAGATCTGTTCTCCTGCCTGCTGGTGACAGGCTTGGGGGTCTGTGTGCACCTCTGCGCCCACTCTCCCTCTGTAGGCAGTGTTCTGAGTAGTTTCAGTTTCATCCACGTGAGCATGGCACCTGGACGTTTTGACCTTTGTTTTAGGATGGGACACTTTCATTTGAGAAAAGTGAGGTGAAGGAGCAGTGTGGCTTGGCCAGTACCCAGTCTTTCATTGATTTCCTAAGAGGTTTTCTCAGTCTCTGCTCCCTTCCCTCTGTGATAATCCCAACCTCTTTGGTAGCTTTTTGTAAGACTTTGTTTAGGTGCCCTGTATCATGTCCTCTGGCTAAGCCAGCTTTTGGGTGGGGTGGGAGGTTCCTAATGGGCTCCAAGCTGTGTGTGGTAGGCAGCACACCTAGCCGGCACAGAACTCAGTGGTGTCTGGGAGAATAGTGGGAGACTGCCTGCCTTGGTGCTGCTTGAACTACTTTTCTTCCTGAGGTTTTTCCTGTTGCCACTGCTGCCCACTCGTTCACTGCCCTGAAGCATGGCTTTCTCAGCACGCAGCACTGTGTCCATAAATCAGGACTTTGCCCTCATTCCCTTTTTCTCAAGGGCCCCCCAGTGCAGCTCAGTCTGCTCTGGAGGGTTCCTTGGCTTTCTGTTTCTCTGGTGCCCTCTTCTGTGAATGTGTTGCTTTCTGGCCCCTCCTCCCAGAGGGAAGGGTGAATAGACTAGGGGCCTATCTCAGGGATCCCAACCAAGGCTGCGCCCTCCCTCAGGGTGTTAGGTCCTCTCCCAAGATGGCATGTTTAATGGACCTAAGGTGGCGGAGTGCTGCATCCAGAGTCTGCCCAGCTTCCCTTTCTGACTCCCCATAATACTGGACTTGCTCTGGTGGACTTGTCCTTCAGGTCAGCTTTTTCTGTCTGGCTTTGTTTGCTGTCCGTTTCTGAGTACTCGCACTCCCCAGTGCATGTCCTCCAAGCTTTCCTTGTGCACCTCTTCTAGTCGGCCATGATGGATCCCCTCCATTTTGTCGTTTAAATGATTTTATTCTGCAGCAAGTGCCTAGAAAGGCTATCCAGTGCATTGTGATTGAATTTTTGACTTTTGCTTCTTCTCAGTTGGGAGCAGAAAGTGCCGACAGCATTGGAGCTGTGTTAAATAGCAAAGAGGAGCAGAGAGAAATTGCTGAAACAAGAGAAAGCTGTAGGTCAGTTAAATAATTTTTTAGTAATATATTAATATTGTAAAAAGATCATTGTTTAATAACCAACTACATGTATGAATGTACTATTATAAAAAGCATCAAAGATTTTAAACACAGCTGTTTTTTTTTTGTTTTGTTTTTTTTTTTCTGGGCTGTGGATCAACCCCTGGACCATGCTAGGTAAGTGCTGTACCACTGAACTACATTGCCATCCCAGAAATACTCATTTCTAATGTCAGTTTATAATTGATGAAATATTTAATTTTTGAATATGTGAAGTTCCCATTTATAAATAGAAATGGAATGTTAGACTTAAGACTTAGTTTACGTATCAGAAATAAACCTTTAATTATAAATTGCAATTTTATGAATTTATAGAATCAGATTTACCCTAAACGTGGTATTCAATTGATAGTTCAGAAACCATTTCATAAATTTTCTGGTATTTTAGTTTATCAACTTGGACATCAATTTTGCTTAAGATAGATTAAAATAATACATAATTTAAAAGTTTCTTTTTATAATATGTCACATAGAGCAGCTTCTTACAGGCTTGTCAGTCAGGTTCTGTAAATTTTTGGGTACTTTATAAAGTGGGGAAAAAGATGCTATTTAATCAGGAAAAATTTATGTTGTTCTGTGTTTATATTACTTAGTATTATGAGTCAATGCTACACACATATTACACGTATTTGTGTGCAGTTCTTCCATTTTACTTGTCAGGGCTTCCTATGATACTTCTGCTCCAAATGCAAAACGTAAGTACTTGGATGAAGGAGAGGTAGATGAAGACAAAGTGGAAGAATATAAGGTAAGTAGGAAATGAGATAGTTTTACGGTGAAGAAAAAAATAAGCCCTTACAACAGATTCACATCCAGAAAAACAAATCTGATGGAAAGCTGAACATGAAGTAGGCTAAAATAATTGTCAGGACCATACACTATCAGTTACTTGAGGCCTTTAGTAGTTACAGAGCACTTAGCATAATGCCTGGTAAACACTGATAATAATATTTTTTTTAAGAAGAATGAAGAGATAAGTGTATCAAAAACTTTGGGTGTTGGATCAGATTGTGAGAGGCTGTGGTCGTCCTTTGTGTGGTATTATTCCATGTTAACAGTTCAGGATAACTAAGCTAAACAACCAAAACATTTTGCTAACTCATGAGCACTGTTTCTGAAAGAGGTCAAGAACCCCAACTGTTAAGATTGTAGTTGCAATGTTTATTTAAAATGAAGGTACTATGGACAGAAACTTACCTCAGTTTTTTCAAGTTAATTGTATATATTTATTAAAATAAGAAATACATCGTTTCAGTAAATCTGTAGCAAGTTCTGTGATACATAACCTAATCGCATATACTAGAATACCACCTCAGGTGTTAACACTTTGATATATACGGTACTTATATGTAACTTAAATGTTTGTGACTGTATTCAGTTTAACCATATACAGTTGCCGATATGCTTAACATTTCTGATGTATAAAACAGTTTTCTAATGGAAATTAATGGCCCTCTTAGTGGTCATACCTTTCATGACTCAAGCTGCTACTACTACTACTACTACTACTACTACTACTACTACTTCTTCTTCTTCTTCTTCTTCTTCTTCTTCTTCTTCTTCTTCTTCTTCTTCTTTTTCTTCTTTCTTCTTCTTCTTCTTCTTCTTCTTCTGTCTTCTTCTTCTTCTTCCGCCTTCTTCC